TGAAGCAATCAGGATATGAATGGAATCAATGTATAGTTAAAGAGTTAACCAAGATATTGCCTAATCTCACCGAGATGTTTTATACTGAACTGTGTCCTTAACAGTGTTATAATCCTCATAGCTTCTTGCTCAGTTAGTGATTAATGCTATGTTATCAGTGAACAATAGCAACAATGAAATCACACCATTACTTTCTTTCTTAAACAAACATGGATCAGCCATGCCAGCTTTAAAACCTATCTTATTTAACTCTTTCACTATACATTGATTCCATTCATATCCTGATTGCTTCAAGCCATAAAGACTCTTTTTTTAACTTCCAGCAATCAGTGTTATTACCAGTCTTTAACCTTAAAGGCTTCTTTAAATATATAGTATGTTGCAACGGTGCATGGAGATATGCTGTCTCAACATCTAAATGATTCACTACATATCCATGCCTAGCTACCCAAACTAATGATGCACGTAATGTTGTAGATGCAAATACCTCATTATAGTCATTGGCTAATTGATCAAACCCTTGTGCTACCAATCTGGCTTTATGGGTAACAGTCCCATCTACACTTGTTTTAATCTTGAAAATCCATTTACAACCAATGGAATGTTTACCTGGGGGTAAACATACATCTTCAAACACCCCTAAGTTTTGTAAGGATTTCAGTTCCTTTTCCATTGCTGTTTTCCAAACTATCTGCTCCTCCTTAGGATACAGGGTTAATTCATGATAAGTAGCAGGAACTTTATCTACTTGACATGCTGTAGTAGCTTGATATCTGTCAGGTGGTCGGGTTACACGGGTTGAACGTCTAGGCAACTCAGGGCTCACCAGTGGACTCTCCTGTTTCACCTGCTCCTGTTCTTCTAGTTCTTCCTGTACCTGCACTTCTTCTTTAATTGCTGGTTTTACTATTTCATCACTAGGGAGTACCTGGGTGTTGATAATTACATCGTCAGTTGGTTCTAATTTATTCCACTCCACGTGTTCTATAAACATTGCCCATGGATTTCCACTGCTCTCCTCTGCCTTCTGGGCATCTGCGCATCAGGCACTGGACCTACCTGTTCCTCCTCTTCCTCATCAGCCACCTTCAGGCTGGTGGCTGTTGACTCTCCATCTGGGAGCTGACGGACGGCCCAGGCTCTGCCTCTCTCTCTGCCAGCTCCATTCCCACTTCCCCCTTGGAGCTCTCAGGTTGCCTTGATGCTGACCCTGACTCCCACACCACCACCACCACCACCACCACCACC